GGAGGGAGGAGGGAGGAGGGGAGGAGGGAGGAGGGAGGAGGGAGGAGGGAGGAGGGAGGAGTACAAGGAGCGGACGCCTTATTGCCAAGTACTTGTGCTACTGGGGCTCCTAACACCGCCATCACTGGTACTCGTATAAGTTTTGAAACTCAGTTCTAATTAGACAGTTAAACCCCCTCTTCCAGTACCACCAGTAGCAGGCCTTGTCGTGGCAATGGCTGGAAAGCTAAGGCCAAACGTCGCACCAGCGACCAGGAGAAGGATAAGTCTCCAATCCCTAAACCCTCAACCTCAGATAGTAAACCCTTAAGCCTGCGCATCCCAAACTACGTCATAAAGCCACGAGTGTCAGCGTAGTGCCGCGGATCTGGAGGCTCTCCAACTCAGTCGCGTCCAGGAGTTTTGGCTCAACGTTTTGAAACACGGAGTATTGAAGTTTTGGGTTTGAGAGTCCGACAGATACGGGATCAAAACTTTTGAATGATGTGCTGTTCAACTGATTCCCTTGGAGCGCCTTTAAGCAGATGGGATCAAAATTCATCACAATGCCTTCGGTTTTGGTGCCCATAGGCAGCCGTAAGGCTCGGACAAAAGATTCGGTGTTCGTAAACCCAAGCAGTCCTCTCCTTTCAGCCCTTCGCAAACACTTATAAGCTGAACCCCTGTAACACCTTCATTCCTTTAACAAACTTCTGAGAATTCAAACATCTACAAGGGGTGGTTCTCTAAATTGGGGTCCTTTTTCAGGCCGCCAACATAGTGCGGCACCCTTGTAAAAAGGACCCTAAAGGGGGGACCCTAACTTAGAGAACTCCCCATCTTGTAACACCCTGTAACTCCGTCAAAAGCTCTAGCACCCGATGACCTCCCCTGAGAATACGAAGCCTAGAACGCCAAACCTAAACTGAACCGTAGACTCTATACTCCAACACCAAGCATAGACCTTAGACCCTACACCTTGGACCCTAAACCCTGCCCTAAACCCTAAATCTTAAACCCTAAACCCCGAACCCTGAACCCTAAACCCTGAACCCTAAACCCTACTAGGCCCTCAACCCTAAACCCTAAGCCCCAAACCCTTAAACCCTTAGACCCTAAACCCTAAACCCTAAACCCCAAACCCTTAGACCCAAAACCTAAACCCTCAACCCTAAACCCTGAGCCCTGCCTCAAACCCTTAGACCCTCAACCCTAGACCCTCAACCCCAAGCCCTAAGCCCTGCCTCCAGTGCATCCTCGAAGTGCTCCAGGCCCAGCGCTGAGGCGAGCTCGGCCTCCAAGGGATCCGGCAAAAGCTGCACCGTGGCGCCTTGGAGAGTTCCAGGTGATTTTTTTTTTGAGGGGAGGGGGGGGGGG